GAGAGGCATAAAGAGAAAAGCAAAGTGAAAGAGCATAATAGAAAGCGAGAGAGAAAGAGAGAAAGAGAGAGAGAGAGAGAGAGAGAGAGAGAGAGAGAGAGAGAGAGAGAGAGAGAGAGAGAGAGAGAGAGAGAGACACAGAGAGAGAGAGAGAGAGAGAGAAAGCAAGAGCGAGAGAGAGAGAGAGAGAGAGAGAAAGACAGCGAGAGAGAGTGAGAGAGAGAGAGAGAGAGAGAGAGAGAGAGAGAGAGAGAGAGAGAGAGAGAGAGAGAGAGAGGGGTGACAAAGGCTCGATCTCTGAGGGGAGAAGGCATGAATATCAGCCATGCCCCCTTTGCAAATGAACATGAGCCACTCCCTCTTTGCCAACTGAATGGGAGTTATGCTCCCGCTGCAATTGACTATGACACACCCACCCTTAAGGCAAATTTTCGGGTCTCGCGCTGAGACAGCCAGTCGCCGTGGCTGCCGCAGCGCAGTTTCGTCCGGGTAAGGGTCACCGCCACAAGGTTGGGTGCGGCGGAGGTAGCAGAGGAGGGGGTGGAGGCGGTGGTGGAGGTGGTTCGCCCGCTGCTAGCACTGACGAAGGGGCTGGCATTGGTGCCTCGGAGCAGTAGCAGCAGCAGGCACCGTAGCAAGACCAGCGCTAGCAGCAGCAGCCGCAGCAGCAGCAACAGCAGCCGCGGGTCGGTTGTCTCCCGGCCGGGAGGCCTGGCGCCGGTGGTGGAGGTGGTTGCGGTGGTCGTGCATGCAGCGTGACGTCGGGTGGTGGTCCGAGTGACGGGCGCTGCCAGTACCAGCTCTAGACCAGTCCTCGCCGCGGCCTCGTGTACGGTAAGATCGGTCATACCCCCACTCGTTGTTTCAGTCGCCTAGAGGACCTGTTTCGTCTCCGCTTCGGCTCGGCGCTAGACCTCCCCGACTGGCACAGTCTGCTCCGCCGTGGTGTTAGGATCTTCTGATATGGACATAGATGAGATTAGCTCTGCTTTGTATGTGCTCTATGTGGATGACTCTAGTGTGTCTGGTTCCTATTACCCCGTGTTGCCTAGTGTAGGTGTGCCTAGTGTGCCCAGTTGGAGATACACCGGTACCTTTGTCGATGCAGTTCCCCCACCTGGGGTAAACGTAGTCGACGGCCGATGGTTCTTCAAAGTGAAGTGCCCCCCTGGAGGGCCGCATGTCTTCAAGGCGCGCTACGTTGCTCGAGGCTTCAGTCAGCATGAGGAGGTGGACTTCTTTCAGACCTTCGCTCCCACCCCGAAGATGACTACTCTTCGGGCACTGCTACGAGCTGCACTCCCTCGACTTCTCCACAGCCTTCCTCCAAGGTAGTCTACACAAGCAGGTCTACCTGCGCCACCCCCAGGGCTTCTCCGGTACGTTTCCCCCTGGTACCAACTGGCTCCTGCGGTGCCCCGATTACGGCTTGCGACAGGCGCCTCGTGAGTGGCACAACACGCTGCATGCTACACTTGCTGACCTGCAGTTCTTCCCATCGTCCGCAGACCCCTCACTCTTCGTCCGTTCCGGCCAGACTCTGTTCTACATCCTTGTCTACGTAGACGACCTGGTCTTTGCTACTGCAGACAGAGACGCGCTGGCCTCCGTGAAGGCCGAGCTGCTGGGGAGACACACCTGCACTGACCTAGGAGAGCTGCGCTGCTACCTTGGCTTGCAGATCTCTAGGAACAGAGCAGCGTGCACCATCACTCTCACACAGTCACACTTGGTGCGCCAGGTCCTTTACAGGTTCGGCCTTCAGTTCTCTTCCGCACAGCCCACCCCTCTGCCAGTAGACCACAGACTCTCTGCGCCTGTTTCAGAGGAGGCTGTAGAGCCTAGTGGTCCTTACGCAGAGCTGGTGGGTTGCATTATGTACATGATGACTTGCACTCGTCCAGATCTCGCTTACCCTCTCAGCATCCTGGCTCGCTTTGTGGCCACCGGCAGACACCGACCATAGCACTGGTCGGCAGTTAAGAGGGTTTTGCGTTATCTAGCAAGTACATCGGGCATGGGGCTAGTGCTAGGAGGACGCAGACCAGTGGTCCTTACCGGGCAAACAGACGCTTCTTGGGCAGACGACGCCGAGACTCTCAGGTCCTCCTAGGGCTACTGCTTTAGCCTTGGTTCAGGTGCCATCTTGTGGAGGTCAACTTGCTCGTCGTCTGTTGCCCAGTCTAGCTGTGAGGCTGAGATCTACGCCGGTGCCATGGCGGCACAGGAGCTCCACTAGCTGACCTTCTTGCTCACAAACTTAGCTGAGCGGCCTAGCTCTGCCCCGGTTCTGTGCGCTGACAACAAGGCCATGATCCTCCTATGTGAGGAGCCCAGACTTGAGGGCAGAGCGAAGCACATCCAGCTGCGGTACTTTCTCCTGCACGAGCTACAGCAGCCTCGCCAGGCCCACGTAGTACACTTGGCCTCCGGCGCCAACACAGCTGATATCTTTACGAAGGCACTTGCGCCTAAAGATCATCAGCGGCACTGTGTACAACAATGTCTCATTCCTGTCGCCTCTAACTTGCTAGGACCTTGATTGTGTACACACCTTTACATATATATTACCCTGACTTGGCCCTCAGATTCCTTTTAGGCCAAAGGGTCGGGTGGCAAGAATCACATAGTAAGTGCACTGAGCAGGGGTACAGCCTCAAAAGATAGAGACCGGCACAGTACCGCTAGACTGGGCGATAGAGCACTGACGAGTCTCTATGGCAGACAGGGTGTCGACAAAGTCAGTATGGGTAAGGTCGCGGGGTGGAGACTAAGAAAGTGATCGTGGGCGGAAGCAAGGCGGTCAGTGACGCGGGTGGCAAGCATGTAGAGGATAGAGCATATGGGGGGCTGAAACATACGAAGCTGGGCCTCAGTGCACGAAGCGCGCCAGGTCGCGTCTAGCGTGCGCAAGTGGGCGGCGAAGTCAGCGACAGTGGGGAAAGACGCGAGATCAGGAAAGAGCATGGGCACGATCAGGCGACCGACGGAGGCAGAGGGTGAGGTGGAATAGCCCGCGACAACAGCCTCTAGATACTCCTGCGCAGTCTTGACCAACCTAAAGCGGGGGCGCTCCGGCAGGGGGGGAGCATGACTCATCGCGAGCTGTGCGACAGCGTCACGCGACAACCAGACAGCACGGGCAAGGGCAGCAGCGGCAGCGGGCTCATGGTCAGCAGACGTGGGGTCAGCGGGTAGAGCACCAGGGGGGTCAGGGTAGGAGAGTGTACCGTTGATGTGGACGGCCAGGGAGTGGACGTCCTGCCGCTGACCGGTAAGGTGACAACGGAGGTCGACGAGCCACGTGTCGAACTCGACCGGCTGACCCTCCGCGTCAAAGCGCAACACCGAGTCCGCGATCATGGTTGCTGTAGCAGCAGAAAGGCGGTAGTGGGCTGTACTGAGCGACAGAGTGGGCAGGAAGTAGTGGCATGCGGTGAAGTGCTGTAGACTGCGGTAGAGTGAGGTGCAGGACGGTAGGGTGCGGTGCAATGCAGTGCAGTGCGGTGTAGTGTGGTGCAGAGCGGTGCAGTGTGGTGTAGAGGGCCGATGAAGCTAGGTGGGAGCTGAGGGAGGGGCAGCTGAAGGACGGGGCCGTGAGGAGGCTGAGCGGCGAGGCTGAGGGGCGGCTGGTCAACAGGCGCCGCGTGGCAGCTAGGAGACAGGGCCACGGGCGGTGAGGCGACGGGGCCGGCTCGGCTGCTAGGTGACGCGGCCGGCTGGGTGACGGGGCCGGCTAGGCAACGCGGCCGGCTGGGGTACGGGGCCGGCTGGGCGATGGGGCCGGCTGGGCGACAGGGTCGGCTGGGCGACCGGGCCGGCTAGGCGACAGGGCCTGCTGGGTGACGGGGCCGACTAGGCAATGGGGCCGGCAGGGCGACGGGGCCAGCTAGGCGACGGGGCCGGCTAGGCGACGGGGCCGGCTAGGCGACAGGCCTGGCTAGGCGACGGGGCCAACAAGGCGACAAGGCCGGCTCCCGGCTTAGGCGACGGGGTCGGCTGAGGCGACGGGGACGGCTAGGGGACTGGGCCGGCTAGGCGACGGAGCCGATTAGGCTACGGGGCCGGTTTAGGCGACGGGGCCGGCTGAGGTGATGGGGTCGGCTAGGCGACGGGGCCAGCTGGGCTACGGGGCCGGTTGGGCGACGGGGCCGGCTAGGCGACGGGACCAGCTAGGCGACGAGGCCGGGTAGGCGACAGAGCCGGCTGGGGTACGGGGCCGGCTGGGCGATGGGGCCGGCTGAGCAACGAGGCCGGCTAGGCGACGCGGCCGGCGGGGAGACGGGGCCAGCTAGGCGCTAGGCGACGGGGGCCACTAGGGGACAGACCAGCACAGGCGGGAGGGCGGCGGGAGGGCGGCGGGGGGGCTAGGACCTACGACGAAAGCGCTGGTGGGCGGGGGGGGACCTAACCTACTCATGATACCATATCAAAGTTAACGAATGACTAGAACCATGGCATACAAGGGTGTATAACCTAGTGGGTTGTACTCTCTAAGGCACAACCCTGTGTGACCTATAATAATATACAAGAATATGTTTGACACCCTTATGTGAAAAAGTACAAATATTTAGGACCCTACAAAGTAGCTTAAAAATATACCCTTACAAAAAAAGTGGTAGCAAGAAAGAGTACTACTAATCCTATCCAGAGGCGTGGTTGAGTACCAGGAAACCAACTTCGCAAACTACCAAATTTAACCGTACAAGAATTTGCGTTTCGGCCCTCGGAACTCTCTGTACCGCGTTGCAGACTCGATTTCGGGTCTGGTGGTACTGAACACAGTCTTGTAGGAATACGCCCTTAGTTTGCAGGATGCTGAGCTCGGGTTCTTGCTTGCTCAGAAGATCTGACAGCAACAACCCGTCTTTTGACCCACCTTGACCAACCTTGCTTGTTTGTATAGGCAACTCAAAAGGTGTTCTAATTTACCATGCCAACAAAGCAGGTGACTGTTAGAATGAGAGAATGAACTAGAATGGGAGAGTACAAGGGAATATAACCTAAAAGCTGTACCCTCTAAGACACAAACCTATACAGTCTATACAAACATAACAATATATGTTTGACACACCCCCTAGACTGTATAGGAGCAGTTCCTAACGAGAGAACGAGCAGCTCAGGGTGGCACTACTAGTCCGACCTCTGAGGCAAGGGTCTAAAGACCAGTCAAACGAGTACAGACACAAGCCAAAAGCAAAACCAGGGCGGCACTACTAGTCCAGCCACTTGAAGAGGCCACAAGGCCAGTCAGAATAAAATATATAAAAGGACTGTACAAAGTCAAGGCCATAGCAAGTGAGAGGCTACAGGAACAAGACCTAGCTGTACACAGTGCCGCTGAAGATCTTTAGGCGCAAGCGCCTTTG